CATTCATCTGCAATGACCTTGTCAGGAGTAACAGAGGGCAGGAATTCTGTATGACAAAGATTGGTTCAGTGAAGGATCTGTTGTATTACAGATTGGCTTTTTAAACACCAATGCAATGAAGAGCAAATTCTGTAGAAAAGGCCCATTCTGGTTTTCATTTCACTCATTTGGGATTTCAGAACACACAACAGCCATCTCCTCAGGATTTGCTCTGATTAAAACAACTTCTTCCTTGCATGAATTACAAAAGAGCCAAGAAAACAAGAGGAGGAAAACACAGCGGCGATCTGGAGATGGCCTATAGCTTCTAGTGCACTTTCCTCATTGAGTTTAATCCTGATTGGAATCACAAGGGAAAATGTCAGTGTGTGTCCATCTTAAAGCATTTGTTCCTATCAGAGAACAGACACACGATCAGCCATAACTCAGCACTTACAGTCTGTTCACAAGGAAGATTTAGCTGAAGGAAGTCAGTCCAGTTGCAGCAAGCAGGGAGGAATCTAACACTGTTAAACTTAGCAGACTTCCACAGATTAAGACTGAACTTACTGGGTATGAAGGTGAGAAAACTGTTAAGTGTTTCTCTGCAGCTTAGAAGGGGCTCTCCATGTACCTCTAACAGTGTGGCTGAGGTCCCACTTCTGCACACCTTACATGCACACGTGAGAAATCATAGAATAGAATCATAGAATCATAGAATGGCCTGGGTTGCAAAGGCCCACAATGCTCATCCAGTTCCAACCCCCTGCTGTGTGCAGGTCGCCAACCAGCAGCCCAGGCTGCCCAGAGCCACATCCAGCCTGGCCTTGAATGCCTGCAGGGATGGGGCATCCACAGCCTCCTTGGGCAACCTGTTCCAGTGCCTCACCACCCTCTGGCTGAAAAACTTCCTCCTCATATCCAACCTAAACCTCCCCTGTCACATTTTGAAACCATTCCCCCTTGTCCTATCACTATCCACCCTTGTAAACAGCTGTTTACAAGAGGCAGAAGAACATCACTGCTCTCACTCACCCCACTGGTGCACCAGCAGACAGCAGGAGGCAGGATGTTGGTTCACGGCTCACTCTTTGATCAGGAGGATGAAATGCTCTCTGAACTTGTTAGCACTAATTTCCTTCTTTGGGCAAACATCCTTTCCTGTTGTGATCATTAACTCATCCTTAGGTTCAGCCATTCTGTTTGCGACCATGTAAATAAATGATAAAAGTTAAACATTCCTTTGCATGTGACAGTAAATCTGAAAAGAAACAAGGATCACAATTAAAGCTCAATTTTAAACCTCAGTGCTGCTGGGCATCTCCCCACAGCTCATCATGAAATCTACCTGTGGCCTCAATCCCTCCAGCATTTCCTGTTAGATGGCACTGGTTTCCTTCTAAGGAAGGAATTTCCTTCCAACTTCCTTCTCTAGCCCAATGCTAAATGCTCAGCCTGCTCTCCCAGAAGGATGGTTTGTTCTCCTGTTAGTGGCTATCACTAAAAAAATCCAGTGCTAATTAGTAGGAACAGAATCACCATTGGATATGGGGTTACAATTTGATCAAGCTAAAATCAGGGCAGCTGCCTACCAGGGCAAATCTGCTCCTCCAGGTGTAACATTATCACTGTGCCAAAGCAGGGGAGATGCATGAAGCAGCCAGAAGATGTGGCCCAGTTATCAGAACATCACACTTCCCCCCTGCAGCTCTGACAGGCCCAGCAAACGATATGCAACACAATTGAAAATGTGGGAGGGAGAAGTCAGTGTGGGACAAGGGAGACTTCTGTCTCGTTGCTGTCCACAGACATCCTGTAGGGCTATCCTGTATAGAACCCTCAGGTCCAGAACATATTTACACGCTTAATTCACACTAAGTAGGATTTCCAAAAGCCTTCATCTCCACCTAAAGTCCTTTCAAAGTCTTGCTTTTGATCTCTCAGGCTATATCCGTATTACCAAATCAGCTCAAGGCTCTACCAGCTCTTGAAATTCAACCCCCTGCTTGTTCATAAGATGTAAGTGCTGCTCCACATTGGCCCTGGCTCAGCAGCAGGTCTCCCAGCAGCACTCACACACAAGGAGCAGGCTGCTGGGGTGGCTGGCTCACTCTCCACATCTGTCTCTGCAGCCCATGCAGACAAACTCATGGAGCCTTAAGCTTCAAGATCTTGGGATTAAACTGCAGAAAGGAGATCAGATGCAGCATTGGCACAGGGAATGCAGACAAAAATAGGAAAATAGAAAAAATAGACGAAGATAGGACAAGGGGGAATGGTTTTAAAGTGAGACAGGGGAGGTTTAGGTTGGATATGAGGAGGAAGTTTTTCAGTCAGAGGGTGGTGAGGCACTGGAACAGGTTGCCCAAGGAGGCTGTGGATGCCCCATCCCTGCAGGCATTCAAGGCCAGGCTGGATGTGGCTCTGGGCAGCCTGGGCTGCTGGTTGGTGACCTGCACATAGCAGGGGGTTGGAACTGGATGAGCACTGTGCTCCTTTGCAACCCAGGCCATTCTATGAATCTATGAAAAAAGTTCTCTGGGAAAGGACAGTGGCTGTGCCTCACCTCACAGCCAGCAGAAGCAGGCTTATGGCAGCCTATCCTTGAAACCTGGGTACCAAAGAAAAGAAGGGCTGTTGAGTGGATGCATCTCGTTTGCCATCCTTGCAGTAATACAGCTACACAATTCCTTTTGTTTGCTTTTGAAGCAAACAATTGCACATTCACAGCTGGAGGTAGGGTATAAATATTATCTCTCACTCATCCCTTGATCCAGCCATCCTGCTGAATTAATCACGTTCACAAATCAATCCAGGATTTGACGCTGTCAGAGCAGATGGCGAGGCAGGCTGTGTCTGTAGGGCAGGCACAGCTTTCTTCCTATTATCCAGCAGCATTTTCCTGCAGCGGATATTTAAACTTAAGACATTATTTGGAAGAAATGCTAAATCTCTCCCGTTCCTCATTCAGCCCAGTTAAGGGCACTGACCCCTCACTTTCTGCTCTACTTCTGCCCCCTGGGGATTTAGGAAACATAGGATGCCCAGCGCCCCTTTCCCTTCCAACTGAACATTTCCTGCCTCATTCTCTTCCTCTGTGTTCTTTTTTTTTTTTCTTTTTGCAGAAAAGAGGTGATAACAACAGATGCTGGACAGCGTGGGATTTCAGGGCTGCTCTACACTAATTGTAGAGCAGAGTGCTGTAGAAAAGAGAAGCTGCATTCATGCTCCTAGCAGCCTTCCATGGCACATAACAGCAGGAACAGCCTTGATGGGACTTCCCCACCGCAGCAGTAAATTTGCCATGAAAGACAGTCCCGCTGTTTTCCCAGTGTTCACATCTGTTCTGCATTCAGTGTCTTTCTAGTTGATAATTGCTCTCCTCTTCCCTCTGCCTCCTGCTGAGGAACTGCTGGAGCTGTCAGAGGCATTTCAGCTGAGCTCAGTCACGTTCTGCATGCGATGCCTCACTTAGCAGCAAAGGTGAATGAGGTTAACCGAGGGGATGTTTGCTGTCCCTGAAGGAATGAAACAGTACAGAACAGCCCAGAGGAAACAAGCCCCTGCAATGTCACAAAACCAACCGTGCAGATTTACTACATCTATGCAAACGTATCAAAATCCATCTCCTTCACTTTATGGATCCACTGGAGAAAAGACATAGAACCCAGACAGACCATGGCGAAGCTGCAGAAGACACTGCACTCAAATACTGCAGCAGACACCTGCCATCCCCACAAGACCATACAGCCTCAGTATCACCAAAAGGAACAGCAGATATAGAAGCTCCAAGGGGTAACAGTGGCCAAGTTTGCTCAACTTTTCAATATAAAGTTGGAAAACAGAAAAGTGTTGCTTAGAGATGTGGTGGATGTTTCTGTCCCTGAGCTTTCAAGGCGAGGTGAGATCAGGCCATGGGTAACCTGATGGAGCTGTGGTTTCCCTGCTTGTTGCAGGGGAGCTGGACTAGATGGCCCTCAGAGGTTCCTTCCAACTCTAAGGATTCTGTGATTCCAAGAGATCTCCTTAGCAGCTCATCTTAGGCAAGCCAGCAGATCCAGAAGAGAAAACAAAACCTGTACATGACATTCAAGCAGATTTGTACTACTGCACAGAGGTTCTCCATTTTGTTCCCGATTCCTTCTCTAGCTTTCACTTTAATAAGCACTCAACTGAGCTTTCCATATAACTATTAAAAGCCAATGACCTTTTCTGAATGGGAGCAGCTGCCCTTCACGTCTCTGTATCTTTCTGCAAAGCTTTTTAGTCAGCTTTTGATTTTATTGTCTTGATAACCTGGAATTATCAGTAAGCTATGCCTACATTTTCTAGTTAAGCACCCTCAGTGAACAAGAGAATACCGCAGGGCTGCCCAGGTCACCTCCTCCCAGTGTGACAGCTTTTCATTCCCATCTTTTTCCTCCTTCTTCTCCTCTTTAATCAGCTGTTCTTGAGAGCCATTTCTGTTCCACAGCAGCTCAGCCATCTTTCTCAGAGCTGTTGGCAACAGATTCTGTTGTAACTTCCTCAGGTGACCAGGAAGCCATTCAAAAGCCAGCTGTGCTCAAGCTGCTGTGCATTACTTCCATCACAGCTGTTAAATTCACCAGGGATTGTGTGTACCTGAGGAAGAAGGGGTTTACTTCTATCATATTTAAACTGTGGCCCATTAGTTCTGTTTTTCAGCACTGGCAGAAGTGATGACATTGTCAGCTACTGACACTGAAACACCACAATTATTTTCAGCAGCTTTTTCAACAAGGTAGGAAAAGGAAAAAAAATTCTGAAGAGCCATTCTGTCCTCCTTCCTGCTGCTGCCCTTCATAACAGATGGAAAGAGGAATTCTTACCCTGAGAAGAGCCAGTGAGGAAGCCCAGTGGACACTAAACACCACAATACAAGTTCAAAGCAAATTCCAGATTGCTGAGAGGAGAAAGGTCATGCCTAATGTCAATGACTTCCCCTTTCAGATAGATCCATGCTGTGTGCTATTTTGCAATCAAAACAGGGAAACAGAACATCTTAATTAAACATTTTATTTATACCAATACAAGCACCATGCTTAGCAAAAAAGATTTGGTTTAAAGTGAACATGCAATGTGAACTAGCAGAGACTAAACAGCATATGGAAGTTGTAACTGGTTACTGGTATGTTCATGGAACTGCTGAGTTCCAAGACTGGCCATGAATCCCTCCCACCTTTTTGCCACCTGCAGCACTGCTGCCAACCTGGACAGATCACAGTGCACGAGTCACATCAAGTCTGGGTCATGGAGCAAAAGCAAAGAGCCTGAATTCTCACGTCACATCACAGCTCCATTTCTTAGTTACCAGTTGCATGTATCAGAAAGTGTGACTTCAAAAGTTCTTTCAAGCACAGTGACATGAGGAGTTGTCAGCATCCCTTGCTTTTGCATGTTTGACTCAGATCCCCTTTGCTTGCTTAACATTATTTCTGGACTATTTATTTAACAGTTAAAGATACAAAAATGGAATCTCGGTACAAATACATAAGATGCTCCTTTGGAGAAGTGGAAAGGTGTCAACATCATCATTATTGCCTCCTCTGAAAGCTCAAAACAGCATTCATGATTCTAGAAACACACTTGAACCATCAAATATCAGCATTTACAGTTAAAAAATATTTGAACATTATAAGTCCATTTTATGGGTTGCCATGCAAATTCATGCTTTAATTCAGTTTACCATCAATGAGCAGGATTACAAGAGCTGTATCCCAGCCATCTAGTCAATACTGAAAGCAAAACTGTGGCAGAAGTCTCTTTATGAAAGACTTTAAATTCTTGGCCAAAGGTTTTATGGCCAACTCACAAACTCCTGAAAAATAGGAGCTTACAATGGAAAATGCTGACTCTCAGACCTTTCAGCTACAAAGGCTCCCATAGGCTGCATTATTTAATTTATCTTGTTTGAACCATCTTTAGAGATCTGAAAATACAGGACAAGCACGTAGTGACAGGTAACAGCAAATCATAGTCAGAATATACTGGCCTTCTGAACACAGACACACCAACCTCCCTCTGATCTTAAAGGGGGAGGATTAAGGAATATACATAGATAAGGTGGGAAAAATAATGAAAACAAGCTTTTGTGCAGAACAGATTTGGATATAATCAATGTCTTTGTTTAACCAAGTATTAGCATTACCTATATCTCAAGGGCCTAGGACAGCACATGGCAGATAATTGTGCCAAAAGACTGCACTGGAAACAAGAAAAACAACAAACAAGCCTAGAATGGCAAACATCCTCTGTGTACTCTTTCTTCGAGCACCTGCAGCTGCTTCCTCATTGCCACAGCTCAAAGCAGGGAAGGAGCTACAGCTACGAAGCAAGGCTGTTACAAGACTAATACTGGCAGGCTGAGCAGCATCAATACCACCTTCCACAAGAACGTGGGCTTTAACCCTCTCAAAAGAACTAGTTTGCTTTCTGCAAGACTTGAAGGGTAGCATCTAAGGCAGAAATCCTTAAGTGGAAGAAGTAAGAACACTCAAAGTGAACAGTAAAGAACTCCAAATGAAGAGTTCCACTACACAGACATAATCTTAAGTAGCAGAGGCTGTTCAGCAGAAGGCGGAGTGATGCAGAGATGCAGAACCTGCTTCACTCATCTGACTGCAGCAGCTCCTTCCTTCTCCTCCAGAGAGTCTCCTTTTACAGTTATTTTTGTTGAGACCTTGTGCAAGCAGCTGTTGGATGTTGGCAGCCCAGCAGTATACAAAATACAGTAAGAAAAGCTATTAATCCAGTTTTCCCAATAAAAAAAATATCAAGTGGAATATTTCAAGTGGCAAATTTTCTTCAGCCACACTGCACATTAACAGGCCTTACCTCTAGCACAACATCAAGGAAACAAGACTTCTCCTGCCTCAATACCGATGCCATCACTGACATCATTCTTCTAAAGTTAAGTCTTACTTACACAACGTTTGTTAAAAAATAAAAGGTGGTAGTAGTATAGAACGATCAAACAGTTTTATAGTCAACATCTTTTTTGTCCAGGGAAATGAAATTGGTTTTCCAGTTCACCAGAGAAATTGTATTTTCATTACAAGCATTTCCTTTCAGAACTGAAAGATCAATTTAATTGAATCATTCTAACACGTATTTTGAAGAGCTCCTCTCAAGTCAGATCCATATACGGAGAAATGAGCAGTAACATCAAACTAAGAAATCTATCAACACTGAGGACCTCTGCAAATCAATTCCTTGTGATCTTTAAGGAATTAGTGTTAAAACACTAACAACATATACCTACAAACAAAAAAAAAACACAGACCTTCATTTGGCAAAGGTTTCACAGCATGAAATACTGGCCTCCAAATTTAACAACTCGTTCCTCCTCACCAAGCAGAGTTGTTAGGGCAGCTGTGTTTTAAGGTACGTTATCAACAGGAAGCTGCTCTGACATGCACTTAACTCAGCAGCACAACAAACACTCACGAGTAAGATAGTGAGATACTGTCACATGAGCACTCCTTCTGCCACTGCGTTGGCTGAACACGATGTCCCATAGCAGACAGCTATTCTACTCAATATAAAATGGCTCTGTAAAAAGGTCATTTATAAAAGTTACATACTATTTTCACATTAGAATCTTTACTGTTTCAAAGAGATGAACCGTAAGTAAATGAAAATCAAATCCCGTATGCAAAAGCTTTCATCTGGAATGTAATTCTGACTAACAAGCAGTTAAGAAAATTAGAGACTGTCATTAAAATAGTGAAAAAGCTACGTGTGGCCAACTTGTATAACAAAAAAGATATAAATCAGTACCATGAAAAGCTTTAACCTCCTGGACTCCTAGGAATAGAGCAGATGACTGGAATTGCTAAGAAAAGGAGGTTAGCTTCTGTTTTATAGATGTCATCTGCAGCACTAGGCACTAGGAAGAATGTTACTTGGATTCTTTAACAAAGATTTTTACCAAATTTGTATTAAGTGGCAGTGTAAAATTCTCAAGTCATTTTAAAGCTAACAAATTAAAGGCACACAGTATTCACAGGTGTTCGTATAAGAGGAAAGGAGCAAAGAGGTAAACTTCTTAACAGTGTAGTAAGTTACAAATGCAAGACATCTGGTGTGAGAGGAACCAGAGTCATAATTCAGCCCTTAGTGATCTTCTAGTCCCTGTAAGACTGCATCAGCATGAGAATTGGACAGTCAAAGCTTTGCCCTGAAATTTAGTACGACTGCCTCAGTCAGCTGAGGAATTACTGGAATGACAAGAATTAGTTCCAAGAATTTGAGGAAGTTCACATGGACATAACACAGAGGGATAAATGGGTAGATCTGCTGTACAAGGATTCTGTCTGTTGAACACTAAATGCTCCTAGGGAATAGTTTTCAAAGTTGAGAGGACATCATAAATTCTGACAATAATGACAGTACACAGTTTTTGCATATAAATGGCTAGTATACGTTGTAAGGATGCATTTGTAGCTCAGAAAGTTAGCATCAGCTTCCAAATTAAGCCTGTATAGTTATAAATTCAGAACTGAACTATTTTAGTTGTAGAAATATTAGTCACAAGAGTGCAAAAGGATTCCCTGCAGAGGAGTATTCCCTTTTAACAGGTACACATAAGGAAACATCTGCAAAGATTTGTTACTTCAAGGAGACAGACCTGCTATTCTTTGCACAAACTTTGCACAAGAGACATACTGCAGGAAACAGATGTAAATACAGTGCATTCTTAGCTGTAAGTATTCATGTCTGGTTCCAGTATGATCAGGATGGTACATAAATACTCATTACAGAGGTTTTCTTAATGGAAGAAGCCCAGTTTCTCACGCAGCCACTCTTCAGTTAGATCTTCTGTATTTCTTATTTCAAATACCTGAATAAAAATCACATAGCATAAACATTTGTGCTGTTGGTACTTGGAAGAGATAAGGATACAACACAAGCAATATCTTTCCACATCAGTTGTCTAAGCTGTAAAAAACCAGTAACCAAGAGTTCTCCTTTGCTTTCTTGAATGCATTGATTACTATTCTAAAGTAACATCAGTGGAAGACTAAGTGACAAGGGACATTAATAACTTGACAAGAATTCTCCAATTCCTATTTCTAGACTTCATTTTTGTTCTTAAAAAAAAGTATGTGACAATATTTACTACATTTTAAACTTGCTCTGTAATCACACCATCTCACACAGCACTCCTTAAATATCTCAGCAAGAGGACTATTTCAATAGTAGAAATGAATTTAACCTCTAGGCTGAATTAAGATCCAAGTTTAGGAATCATGCTTGTAAGCCCCAGATACAGCTGTTCTAAAGGAAAATCATAGCATCTAATACATTTGCCCTTAAAGAAAGGGGCTCAGAATACCTCAGAAGGCTCACAAAGAAACCAACCTAAAGCTTCGTGCAAGTGTTCAGCTCTCAACGAAGCCTTGAAACAGCAAACAAGTCCAAAGTAGCCAATAAACTCTTCACATCCCATTTGTGCAAGTGATTTAGAATTTGAGTTTTAATACCCTTCAGAGGGTAAGCTAATTCTGTACTGTCCTTCAGATGCCAACAAGCAGGTTATCTTTTCAGAAGATTCAAGCAAGTAAAATCCACAAGCCTTCAAGAACATTCTCCTAGGCAATGAACAAGGGGAGTATTTCACTGCAGTCTACTGTTCCTGTTCTGACAAGATGAAAATAACTGATTTAGTGCTGAAATAGCTTTATCTGTCAAACTGTATAGCTGCAGGAAGTATGCTAGGGCCAGCAGAGCAGGTGGGTTTTTGGAGGATGCACAAAGCAAGCTTCTCAGTAAACCCACTGTTTTAAAATGAGCTCCATATTAGTCCTTTCCTCAGCCATTTTAGCATTTTAATCCTCTTCATGAAACAATTCTGGTTGTTCATCTTTTCCCCCCCCTCATTTCCCATCTCACATGGTTTGGACTCTGAACACTGCCCCTCGTGTTCAGGCAGTGATACTACCAACTAATACTATTTTTTTTTCCTTGTAAAAGATATAGGGTGAGGGGAACAAAAAATTTAGCATTCTAAATATGAAATAGCTTACCAGAAACCAAGCTAACATGGAAGCCAGTGAGAAAAATAAGAGGACTAAAGCTCACATGCAGAAGTCACAGCAGGAAGAAAAAGCATGAGCTAGAATGAATCAAGGCTCAGTGAGAGGCAAGAGGCACATCTGAAGAAGGAGGAAGCAACTTCAGCTGGAGACAGGTTACAATCAGCTTCAGAAGGAAGATAATCATGGACTTCCATGTCCACTCCTAGGTAGTCCCCATAGCAGAGGGGACTGAAACTAGATGAATATTGTGAGCCTTTTCAACCCAGGCCATTCTATGATTCCTTCTGGTCTCAGTACTGGAGAAGATGAACACAGGGAGATTTAGGATTGTTCAGCACTTTGCATGAATGTTCTGTGAGCATACAAACCCCCAAACCAGTCTATACCATACCAAAACTTCAGCCTGTACTTCTCTTCAATACACTATCAAAGAGAAGACATCCATCCTATTGAAGGGTATTTCAGTTACTTTTTTGAACATTGTTCTTCCTGACCTCTAAAAAAGAAATGCCCCCACCTCAAAAAAAAGGACTGCTGTCTTCAGTCTTCCTAAAACAATCTATACTGTAATTACAAAGTCTCATAACATCCTTTTCATGCTGGGTTCAAGCAAGACGCTAAACAGCAAACCACATTTGATGCAGAAGCAGTTACTTCAATTAATTAATTATACCTTAGTGAGTTCAGCTGTCTGTACAAGCTTATTCTTGCTCCCAGCATACATCATCTGCTGCTCAGGCTTGCATCCTATAGTTGTATGGAGAGAAAAAAAAAAGACAAAGGTGGGGCTTGGTTATTTCAGCTGCTACACCTCAAAATTGTTTGTTTTTTTAATTTAAATTGAAAGCTGAATTAGGCCACTTCTTAAATTCAGAAAAGTGATCAGTTTTGTTTTTTTTTCTACATACTTCAGTATAATGTTTATATTTTTCAGTATATCTTTGCTCATATTTGGCACTTGAAAAAGTTGGATCAATGATCTCAACGTGCACCTGTATTTCTACTCAGAAACATCTAATACTGCAGTATCTGAACTGGAATTGCAATTCAGAATAACACACCCACCAAAGCAGTAATTCCTGCCACTGCAGTAGTGTGCTGGTTACATTACATACAATTCTTTGCCATCCTGCTATTTCTGGAAGATTTCCAAGTCTCTCCTTGTTCTACTCAAATCTTTACAGCATATGCATTTGAGCTAAGATCAAACTCAGATCAAACCAAGTCAGCTGAAATGTACTATTAGAATTATACAGTTCCCTGCACAGTTTATGATGTGGGTTGCTGTGAAGCAAGCAGAGCAAGCTGTAAAAACTTGGGATGATCTTAGGTTACAGTTTTTTTTTTCCTCAAATATTTTCTGTTCACTCACATTTCTACCTGCCCAGATCTGAGTTATGGAACTTTATATTCTCCTTTTTAGCTACAGCTGTGACACTTCCACATCACAACACTGCTGAGAGGCAATTGTTGCTGCCCATTACATATAGGTCTGCAAGAAAATCCTCTTAGCTTCCATCCTTTCCCTTTTATGCAGTCCTGATCCTCTCACAGCCAGACAAGGCCTTCAGAGAAGGACAGGAACTGCCTCTTGCCCAGTGTCTAACATCCCAAAAGCAGGATGTACAGAGGTGGTTCCAGCCCTCTCCTCACTCATTTCCTGAAGCCACTCTGGTCATGCTTTGAGGAGTCCCCAAGATTTGATGAAAGGCTGACAAGGAAATGCATTATTGCTAAACCTACATGAACAGATGCAGAGCACTCCAGGCTCCTGTCATTCAAAGGAAAATGTTACAGAGCATGCCACTGAGATCACAGTGGGCCCAGTTAGAAAAACACAGCGTTTGGACAGCTATGCAGGAAACTAGTATTTCTCTTCAGCCTTCAGAAATGGAAAACAAAGCATGTTTGTACCCTACTACCTAAGTGTCTTAAATGTGAACCCCAAATGCAATGAAAACCTCTAGCAAGTAGGGAGATCTGGGCAGATGGAAGTGTTACCAACTGTCACGAGCAGATGGTGAGGACAGAGTTAATATACTAGAGGTTCCTCTCTTCCAAAAAAGGTCTCCAGGCAGTGCCACAGCTTTGTAGTGCCCTGATTCCAGCGCAGGCATAAATAAATTCATCCTTGCACATCAGAACCAAAATTTGAGCATTAAGCACTTATTTTATCCTCTATTGCAAAGAACATTCCCAAATTTACAGCACATGGTAGCTGCCATTCACAGGGTTTACTCACCAACGGGACTGGAGAAGATAAAGCACAATGGATAAGAAACTCTTCCATCTTCATGCTGATACTTGTAACTGTACACAATAAATGTTTTTTCTGAAGTTAAAGAAACTGAGAAACTAATTATTTTGTGAGGATAATCATCAATTATGAGAGCTTGATACAAGCACAAAGAAGTCATGCATTCTAGGAGATGACTCAAATTTGTAGTCTGTCTTTTACTTTCACTTCCATATTTGATTTTCAGAACTGACCCTGCCTGTTTTTACCAACCTCTACAGCAGCCAGAGGGTGAAGGTTGCCTCTTTACAGCTGTTTAACATCAGACATCTAAAAACACCCCTTTCATTGCAAAGATTACTCCTCCACTTTTGTAAGAAGACATCTCACACCCATGGCTATCTTGTTGCTGGCCTGCTGAAAGCCACATCCCTTCAGCACAGACCGAGCACTTCATTGCTTCAGGTGCTCTCAGGAATTTGAACTCCTGCTTTATAGCCTCCTACTGCACTACAGTCATGGAAGTAAAGTTTCAGAATGGCACCTGAAACATTGCCAGCCAGCTCTGGAGAATACTGAAAACAGATATTTTCACTAGCTGTAGCTTAAATACCCCTCTTGTTTTGTTTAGTTAGAAAAAATTTACTTCCCTCTGCCAACTCACTTCCTTTCTTTTTTTCCCCTTCCCTCTTTCAGTACAGAGATTCTCCCCTACATCACAGGCCTAAAGTGCTCCCAGCAGCAGTAATTGCAGCAAAACAGCAAGGGGCAAAGCACTAAAACAGATCCTGTTACACGGGCAGCTTTCTGTATTTGCAAGTAGCAACATGCAAAACTGGTGCATTTTACTTGCTTTGTGAGTTAACAGCACTTCCCTAAATGTTACAGAGTGTAGCTTAAAAGGAAATAAAGCCTTGGGAAAGGCCTAACCGTATCAGTTGCTGTTTTAAATCTTTAAGAACTGGGACAATCATTCAGTGCATCATGAGAACTGATCCCTAAGATGCCTCACAAATCAAGTATTACTGAAGTCTCATTACAGGCAAGCATTAGCCTAAAAAGGTGAAGTTCAACTTTAAACATTTGAACAGCTTCCAAGAGTGACTAAGACAAATGCCAGCAGCACAAGAAGGATATCGAGGTTGTCTCTCAGGCAGCTCATCTTTTAGCTCATCTGGAGAAATACCCTGGTAACATTAAACACAAGTAGTATTTGAACAAATGAACTTGCACTTGAAGGTACACTATAAAGGCTAAAGCAGAATAGTGGGGTGGTAAAACACCTGCAAGTTAGATACACATCTTCAGTTTAACTGATTACTATCTCTAAAACAAATTACTAGAACAGTTTAAGAAAGCTCATCAGCTAATAGAGTTCTGCAACTAAACATTAATGTGAATAATCATCCCTAGTATAGGCATAATGAGTTTTGAAAACATTCTGGCTCTAGTTGGATAAGCTGGCAGCTACAGTGCTTTTGTAACTCCAGCACTAAACAGAAGTAAACAAGCACATCCAAATAAATATCTGTTAAAAACCAGCTACATAAAAGGTGCTCTTGAGAAATTGCTCCTTGAACAAGCAGAGTCCCCATTCCACTCAAACACCACGTTAGCTGATACATTCTAGGGTATAAGAGCTACAAGCAATGCTCAAATCCCTTGGAAGGATTTAGTCTTGCCCTGTGTACCATTAAGAAATACTACAAGGTGGCTTACTGTGACATCTATCAAATTTAGGATCTGCAAAGGACTAGCAATCCTAGCTTCTAACTAGGATGAAGCAGATGAGTTCAGAATCCATATGCAGATCTACATGGAAATGCTGCAGAAAACTCTTTGAGAAGCCAGCAGGTGCCAGAGATGCCTTTTACATACAGAGTTGTATCATCACAGCTTTGAATTAACTTATCTTTTGTGCAATTAATTCGTTGCCTCAATTGCTTCTGCACAGTTCCACTATTAATAGCACTGTGCTTTACATGCAGAGTGTCCACGCATTCAAATAAGCTCATGACCCAAATTAGATTAAGAGTTTGATAACAATTTGAAACTAAGGCAGTACCTTAGAGACAACAATACATTGCAGGCTGAAGATACTCTTATTTACAATGCATTTAACAAACCTCATGCTCCTCATCCAGTACCACCAACTGCTTATCCTTGTCGATTTTCACTACAAATCAAAATAAAACACAGATCAGCTTTCAACTGATTTACACAACACACACATAAAGCTTTTTAACAGCACCTCACAAGTACACTTCTCATCCCTCCATTCCTTCTTCAGACCCTGTCCCATGGTTTCACAAAATCCCTGAAGTCAGAAGTTACACAAAGGTTGTTCATAGCAAATGTCTTTTGCAGATTTCAAAAACAAGGGTCAAAATATCATGCTTAAAAACTATACAATTTACAAACTTGAAGTGACCGTGCCATGAATTGTTTTTGCTATCATTTTAAAACCAGTCATGAACTGTAAGCCACAACTAACCACAAAAAGATCTACCAAGGGCAGATGAAGTCAGGCCTCGTGTCATTAAAACTGTATTTCTCCACTATTAGCAGTAGAGAGGCAGAACAGGAGGTACTCTAGTTCATGGCAGATGCAGTCTCTTGGCTCACACCTACTTGTTACAGCAACAAAACTACATGAGTAGAAAGAAAGGATCCCACAGGACCATAGGATCTTCACCAGACACGCTTTAAACTTACTTATAATGGCAGCATTGTTGGTTTCTTTACGGAACCGGAATTTTCGCAGCTTCTCCACCAGGTCTTCAGCAACATCACAAACCACCAGAGATTCACTCTGTGGAGGGAATTGCAGAGGTGAAAGACAGCTGAGAGAAAACTTTTTAATATGAGAAATACCCCCATATCAGGGATACGTGTCCTTAAACACTTTGGAAGTGGAACTGAAGTAATTTGTCAGAAGTTTCAAAGCATACACATGAACTACAAAATAAGGGAGCCTACAAACTCTTTCAAAGGGTAGATAACTGCAGGACAAGGGGAAAAGGTTTTAAGTTGAGGGAGGGAAGATTGAGGTTGGGTGTCAGGGGAAAATGTTTGTTATGAGAGTGGTGAGGTGCTGGAACAGCTGCCCAGAGAGGCTGTGGGTGCCCCCTCCATCCCTGGAGGTGTTCAAGGCCAGGTTGGATGGGGCCCTGGGCAGCCTGGGCTGCTCTGAAATGTGGAGGTTGGTGGCCCTGCCTGTAGTGGGGGGTTGGAGCTTCGTGATCCTTGAGGTCCCTTCCAACCCAAGCCATTCTGTGATTCTGTGAAAGCAGGTTTTAAGAATAAAAACACACCCGTCTGTTCTTCCATCCCCCCTCAAAGCCAACATTTAACTATAAACACATTATGTTACACCCTTGAAGCAAGACTATTCTCCTTCATTGCTATCAAGGATTTCTTTTCCCACAACACAGCCCTTAAAAGGAAAGAGGCGTTCCTTCGAGACCTGACAAGCCAACTCTATGGAACTAACACACAGCAGCACGAACGAAATAACCGAAGCATTTAAAGAAACGAGAGCAACATTTGCGAAGCCTGAGCTTTCCGAAGCAGCACCCAGCTGCCCTATGAGTCACCACCCTGACGATGGGGAAGGAAGCAGTGGTGTCACCAGCAGGTTGCCTGCCCTGACACACGCAATCTTCGCACCGTTTCCTGAGCCTCCCCAGCACACCTCGCACCAGCCACCAGCTCGCCCGTTACCCGACGATTCCTAAGGCTTTCCTGCCTCAACGGCTGCGTTTCCAAGCTTCGTAATAAATAAATAAATAATAATAAAAAATAAATCGCAGGCTCTGCTGTCACAGGGCTCCTCCAGCCGCAAGCACTGCCTGCACCGCCCTCCCCAGCGCTTATTTGTCCTCAGCTTCAAAGCTCCCCCTCGGCTCCCCCCGCCCCACAGCCGCCATGAGCCCCGCTCCCTCCTCAGCAGCCGCACCTCAGAGCCGAAGCCGCGCTCTGCACCCAGCGCCCTTCTCAGAAAGGAGCGTTTCCCCCACTCCCGACTGGGGCTGAGCCCAAAGCCGCTGGGATGAGGTGCGCTTACACAAACCCCGCTCCCCCACAGAGCTCCGTCTCGCCCATCCCCCCTCAGGAGGCGCGAGCTCCTCTCACCATCTTGAGCGCGCGCGCGCGCCAACACCACAACCGTCCGCGCCGCCGCCCCGCCGCCTCCTCACTGAGCCGCCCTCCCCGCTGCGCCTGCGCCAAGAAGACCCCGCCTCCCCCCGCCCCGCTCCTCTCTTTCAGCCAATCAGCGTCGTCGCCGCGTCTGGGCGGGAACCGGCAGCCGCCTACGGGAAGCGGGGAGGTTCAAGGCCCGCGGGGAGAGAGAAGGAAAGGGAAAGGGTAAAGGCGCGTGCCGTGAGGCCACGTGACTCCTCCTCCTCGCGCCGCACCCCGTTGCCATGACGCCGAGGCCCCGCCCCCCGCGCGGTGTCATGACAACGAGGCGTTCCCTCAAGACAGGGCGCCAAGCTGAGGGCAACGGCTTCACTCTACTGCCGCGCATGCGCCCGGCTTTTGCGCATGCGCCCTGCGCAGCAGCTGGCCGGTAGCCTGTGCGGTGGGGCGGGCGGCTGGGCTCGGCTGTCTGCCGGCCGGCCGGCCCTATGGCCACTGTGTTTCTCGTCACGCTCTACGAGTATTCGCCGCTTTTCTACATCACGGTGGTGTTCGTTTGTTTCCTCGTCACCAGCGGCCTGGTGCTGGGCTGGTGAGTGCGGCGGGGGGCTGGTGCTGCCTGTGAGGCCGGTGTGGGGCGGTGAGTCTGGGCTGAGGTAATGGGGGGTGGGGGGGGAGTGGGGGCTGCTGCGATGTGGGAACGGAGCTGTGGGGTGAGGGCTTGGGGTGGGGGGAGAAGTGAGGCTGTGTGGGATGTGGGTGGGTTTGGGAATGAGGAGGGCTGGAGCCTGGAGTGGAGAAGGGCTGCTCTGTCTGGGGGAAAGAATCAAAGAATGGCCTGGGTTGCAAAGGAGCACAATGCTCATCCAGTTCCAACCCCCTGCTATGTGCAGGTCACCAACCAGCAGCCCAGGCTGCCCAGAGCCACATCCAGCCTGGCCTTGGATGCCTGCAGGGATGGGGCATCCACAGCCTCCTTGGGCAACCTGTTCCAGTGCCTCACCACCCTCTGGCTGAAAAACTTCCTCCTCATATCCAACCTAAACCTCCCCTGTCTCACTTTAAAACCATTCCCCCTTGTCCTATCTTCGTCTATTTTTTCTATTTTCCTATTTTTGTCTGCATTCCCTGTGCTGATGCTACAGCTGGTCTCCTTTTCTGCAGTTTAATCCCAAGATCTTGAAGCTTAAGGCTCCATGAGTTTGTCTGCATGGGCTGCAGAGACAGATGTGGAGAGTGAGCCAGCCACCCCAGCAGCCTGCTCCTTGTGTGTGAGTGCTGCTGGGAGACCTGCTGCTGAGCCAGGGCCAATGTGGAGCAGCACTTACATCTTATGAACAAGCAGGGGGTTTGAATTTCAAGAGCTGGTAGAGCCTTGAGTTCTCAGCATGCCTGCACAGTATCAGACAGTTGTATAGGCAGCTCCCATGCTTTAGCAGCTGCCATTGTCTTTTGTCCAGCTTCTGATGTGACCAGCAGGCGATGTTCTCATATAGTGAATCCTCAATCTGTCGGACTCGAGCCAGTGTGTCAGCTTCTTCGTTTCACAGAATCACAGATTGGCTCAGGTTGGAAGGGACCTCATGGATGAAGAAGCTCCAACCCCCCACCACAGGCAGGGCCACCAACCTCCACATTTCACAGCAGCCCAGGCTGCCCAGGGCCCCATCCAACCTGGCCATGAACACCTCCAGGGATGGACGGGGCATCCACAGCCTCTCTGGGCAGCTGTTCCAGCACCTCACCACTCTCATAGTAAAGAACTTAAATACAGATGCATGCCAAGCTGAGAACTTCGACTGGCAATCAGAATGTGAATACATGACATTTGTGTGGTTTCTGGAGGAAACTGCATTTCATCCTCTTGGCTCAGCATTAATATCTGTAGTGCTGTGCTTCAGTGCTTCAGTGTATTCCTTTCTTTGTGTCATTAAAATACAGACATTTTAGCTGTAGCTCTTTGTTCTTTTGGCAGCTTATAAATGCTCTGCCTGACTTTTCCTTTAGTGCAAAGTCTTGCTCTTGTTTACATCACTTCATTAGCTGTTACTGCCTCAGAGATATGCTGTCGATTGCTTTCAGTCTGAATTAAGTTATCTTTTGATCTTTCAGATATATTTTGTGGAAAGATTTTATTCTTGTTTTGCATTGCCTCCTCTAGTGCTAGGTGGAAGTGAAGGCAAGGCTGGTCCTGCTGGATGAAGCTCCACATCGTTACTTACTTCAGGAGAGGTGGTAGAAATCTTTTTTCACAATTCTCTCTGTCCCATTGCACACTGACAGTGCTATATTACCATTTACTAAATTACCCTTTTTCACTTCATCTGTCAATCGAGATCCTAAATCATGTTACAAATAAATCTCTTGTATATAAATGCAAAAAACAGTGTTTCTTTACCAAATTACTCATTATTTTAGTTATTCTTTTCCCCAGGTCATATTTTTTGTGACATGCTTTTGCATAGATAATTTAGAGAGCAGGGAAGTGTATTTCTGATGGACTACATCTTCTGAAAACCTTGTATTCTATAGATGTGCGTTATTTGATAACTGTGTACCTTTTTCACATCACAATGATAGACCTGGCTTCTCTAACTGTTAAACTCAATCTATGTTGAACTCATCTATTAACTGAACATATGTGAGCTTAACTTCCACTTCTAGATTGGCTTGCATCTGGTGAAGGTGAAAATCTCTTTAAAAAAAATATCAGTCTTAATAAGAGCATGTCTAGCACTGAAGAATCCAAGAACCTCCAAGCAACTCCAGTGTGTCTGCAGCTATAGCTCTGCCAAAGTACTTTTTGAACCTCCTAATTCATGAAAGGATACTATAGGTTCATATGATATCATCTGAATACGTGCTATCTGGTGGATTGCCATAATGACATTTTGTTTACCCCCATCATTTTCAGCATTGCAGAATCACAGAATGGCCAGTATTGGAAGGGACCTCAAGGATCACGAAGCTCCAACCCCCCACCACAGGCAGGGCCACCAACCTCCACATTTCAGAGCAGCCCAGGCTGCCCAGGGCCCCATTCAACCTGGCCTTGAACACCTCCAGGGATGGACGGGGCATCCACAGCCTCTCTGGGCAGCTGTTCCAGCACCTCACCACTCTCATAGCAAAGAACTCCCCCCTGACATCCATCCTCAATCTTCCCTCCCTCAACTTAAAACCTTTTCCCCTTGTCCTGCAGTTATCTGCCCTTTCAAAGAGTTGATTCCCCTCCAGTTTATAGGTTCCCTGTAGGTACTGAAAGGCTGCAGTGAGGTCACCCTGCAGCCTTCTTTTCTGCAGGATCAATCAATCATTCAGGATCAATCAATCATCAGCCTGTTTTATAAACATACATGTGATGGTGGCAGCTAGCCTGAAAAGGACCAACTGTTTAGGAATACTAATGCTTTAATTTGCAAAACCATGCCTTGATTTGAAGAGCATCATTTTTTTTACAGGAAGCCCTGGACAGTGGCCCTACTTAGAGAATAGATTACTGAAAAGGAAGCTTGCTGGAAGAGCCAGCCCATTAGATGGGCACAGAGACAAAAGTGGAGTTTAAGTTGGCTGCATATGGCCCTGTGAGTTGCCTCCTAACTGGAGATGAATGTTTGTAGCAGGGGGAGTTGTGAGCTCAGCATCTCCTCCATGTCCACACCACCCACTGAAGAAATCAACTTGAACAAAACCATTGGAACTACCTGCCTTTTCTAAACTAGTATGGTTCTAAAGAAATTAATTGTCCCATATACCAGCTGTCAACCTGGGCTGGTGGAAAGTTAAATCATAAAAGCTTTTTTCATCCTCTGTATGCTGAATGCTGCCTTAAAATTGACAGAAGTGCTGTATCTTACTGTTGAGCAGAGAGGGCCTTTTGCCTTCAGCTGCTGCTAAAACCATACTGGGGCCTTTTTTTTCTTTTTTTTCTAATTTTTTTCATGGTGATTATCCTGTTGCTTTCAACCAGAGGATTTGAAAGTTTCCAAAGAACAGGGTTCTTACTTTGGAATCAGCCAGATGGTATAAAACAGGAGGCATCTTTATGTGTGGCTGGAGGGATTAGCTTCACTGAGTCTTAGATGCTGAATAAGTGAAGCAGCTGCTGCACCTGGTTTCTTTATGAGTAAGATGTTAAGCTGGCATAATTCATTACAGCCCCTGCAAAGTAGGCATGGCTGTGTTTAGTTGCACTGGATAAGAGATTTGATGTTCCACATGCACAAACTAAGCATGGCTGAGCACCCTATGTTATATCAGCAAAGAAATGTCAATGCTTCCATCAGTCTGGCAAACCAAAGGAATTTATCAAAGATGGACTAATAAACATAGACTCTTTTTCACCACTTTTTTGTTTTTGGATACAGCTGTGATACTGAGGAAGGCAAGGCATGAAATGCTAAAGGCAGATACACATTGAACTGCCAGGAACAGGTTGTTGCTATCGAGTGTGGCTTTGTGAATTTAGTTTCCTCAACTTGAAAATCATTTTTGACTGATGTTTTTCCATTAGTCTCACACAGGGTACCTCCAACATGAATTAACAGGCACTGTGCAGGAGCTCCGTGTCAATAAAAGCTCTGTTTTCTCTCTTTTTGGACTCCTGCATGTCAAATAAAGATTTTGAAGCCAGGAAAAAAGGAGCAGTAAAGGCACAAAATTGTCTGTGTGGCTCAGAGCTGTATTGTACATGCAGTGATTTTCAGATGGATTGTGCTGAAGTTGGTAGTGCCTTTTTCAGCTACAGTTACTGATACAAGATCCATCTTGCTGTAACAGCTGCTGTTCCAGTGTACAACATGGAAATGGTTGATGCAGGAAGATTTGACACTTTTTGCAGTTCAGAGCTTTCCAGCCAATGACTTCATAAAGCAAAATTTGAGCCCATTGAACAGACAGCAATGGCAGCAGAAGCACTACATGGTGACAATGCAGCCTGAGCTAATTAATAACTGTGTTCTCAAATAGATTAGCAAATGACCCCCCACAGCCTCTCCCTGTTACCTTAGTAATGAGGCAATGCTGGATTAATGCAGGTACAAAAATCCCATCAGTCTCTGAAGCAGTTTTCTGATTGTGTATCTAGGGT